AGGAGACAGGAGCTACACTCATTGTCACAACATGGGTGAGCAGGGACACAAACACCTGGGCCATCTTCTGCTGCTTTCCCCAGGCCATCAGCAGGGAGCTGTATCAGAAGTATATACAAACTGGTGCCCACATGGGATGCTGGCACTGCAGGTGGTGGGTTTACCTATCATGCCACAATGTCAACTCATTAATGATTTTGATCTCTTTTTCAAAAGAGTAGAAAGAGGCTCATTCTCTGACCATGGACAGATTCCATGCTTGCAGGACAATCTGTGGGCAGCATAACTCATTTGTTGCTGAATATGACACAGACATCAACAGGGAAACTACTTTTAGCCTCTCTGCTCCTAACTGCCAGAGATACATTCTGTTTCTCTGTCCCCTTTGCCAGTATGAGATGTAGAACATGGAGAGGAAGAGAGGTGTGCTATGCTTCAGAGAGCCTTGCACAGGTCCTGCTGTCCTTCACCTGAGACAAACCTGAAGTTTAAGCCACCTTCCTTGACCATTCCCCAGACACCAAGAATGCCCCTACCCAAACAAGTCTATGGCTGTTTCCAGGGTCTGCAGGAGCCTCCTCACAGGCCTGAGGGTGGCTACACTTAGATATTTCCTGGTAATGAGTGTGGATATTGGTCAGATGCTGGGGGTCTGCTTGTGTATGTATGGAAACAGCAGCAGGAAGGCCAGGGTAGGAAGAGAAACAGCACATACTGCAGGTCTTCTGGGAGGCCTGTCAATCCAGCGTTTCACCACTTCAAAGAGAATGCTGAGGCACTTGAGAATTATCAAGGTGAACCTCGCCATCTGAATAGTCATGATGGTGTGAAAGATTTTTAAATGTTTGCTTGCACCACATGACTTTTAAGCACATATTTGCAGGGCTGGTGTTGTGGTGCAGGAAATTAAGCTGTCACTTCCAACACCAGCATCACAAATACTGGACTGCCACTTCTGAGTCCCAGCCACTCTGCTTGAAGGATTGAAGTGTGGGCAGGAGGTGGGGGGAGTAGCACTATGTTCCTAAAACTATATATATGAAGTACGTGAAACTTGTATAACTCAAAAAAATGTTTAAAGTTTTAAAAAATACAGATTTGTTTATTTGAAAAGTAGAGGCCAAAACCAGGATCCAGGAGCTTCTGTTGGGTCTCCCACATAGATAGGAGGGGCCCAGGGCTTGAGACATTTTCCACTGCTTTCCCAGGTACATTAGCAGGGAGCTGGATCAGAAGCAGAGCAGCTGGGACTCGAACTCAGCCCATATGTGATGCCTTAACCTGCTGCGCTACAGCACTGGCCCCAATGAGTTGTGTCAGAAGTGCGATAGAAAGCTACTCTGCTTTTAATTTAGCTCCTAGCTAATGGAGCCTAGGAAAGCACTTGGAGATGCCCCAAGTACTTGGGCTCCTGATATCCATACGGAAGACTTGGATGGAGTTCCTGCCTCCTGGCTTTGGTCTGCCTCAGCCCCAACTATTGTGGCCATTTTGGGAATGAACCAGTGGATGGAAAATCTCTCTCTCTCTCTCTGTCTCTCCCTCCCTCCCTCTCTCTTTCTCTCATTCTGTCAATCTACTATAAAATAAATGGAATAAATCTTTAAAAAACAGATGCATACATATTTACAACAATGGCATTTGTACCCTTGCTCCAGGACCACCATGTTGCAGGTGAACCTACCCATCATCCCTTCACACACAAGTCAAAGCCTGCATCGTCCTCCTCTGGTGTTCTCAGGAAAAAACTTACCTGACTCTTGCTACTGCTTTCCACACTTGTTCTGTGGGACACCCTCTATGTCGCAAGGCCTCCCAACACAACCCTTGTTTGCAAATGAAATTTACAAATTATTTTTATGACAATGTAACCAGAAGTGTAGGATTCAGGCCAAAAAGGGCTCTGGAAAACAGGCAGAGATTCTGAGAGAGTTTGTAAACTCAGATTATCATGAGTTTTCTTTTTTTTTTTTTCCAGAGGATGTTCCAGAAAGATTGATTCTTTTTTGTTTTTTCAAAGTAATGCATGTTTATCATTGAAATTTTCAAAGTTAAAAAAAGCAAAAAGAAAATTAAAATGATCTATAATACCAGCACCTAGAGACAGCACTTGCTAACATTCAGTTAGTTTTTCTGCATGTTTATATAGGCAAAATTATTATACTTTTTTGCACTGTTCTATTTCTAACCCCAAATATTAGAAGTATTTCTCAATTTTATTAAATATGAATTGGACATATCCTATCAAATAGATGTGATATAACCTATTTACCAGTTCATCATTTTGAAAACATTTTTTCAATTTTTTGGTTTTTTTTAGATTTTTATTTTTTATTATTTTTTAAGGTGAACAAATTTCATATATAGAGACTTAGGAGCATAGTGATACTTTCTACCTTACCCTCCCTCCCACCCATGCTCCCCCTCTTCCTCCTCCTTTCTTTACTATTTTAATTTTTACAATGATGTACTTTCAGTTTATTTCATAGTCATAAGATTAATCCTACACTCAGTAAAGAATTCTACAATTAGAAGAAAAAAACACTGTTTCTCAGCAGTAGAGACAAGGGCTGTAAACAATCATAGAATCTCAAAATGTCCATGTCAGCCCTATACATTACATTTGTTTTGTACTCTATTAGTTACCACAGATAAGAAAGGTTTATCTTCAAACATTGTACTCACAGGGGCAAGGCCCTTATACACAGGAAATCAGCTAGAACACAGGATGTATGCAGCTGTCAGTCACTGGACCAGGAGAGCCCTCCTGGAGCTCTTGCTGCGTCTTCCACACTCCCTGCACCCAGGCTACAGAACTCCTGTAAACTGCTTCTCTGTGCACCCAGGCTATAGAACTCCTGTAAACTGCTTCTCTCTGCACCCAGGCTACAGAACTCCTGTAAACTGTGTCTAGGGAGGCCGTTTATGTGTCAGAATTCTACTTCTCCACCATCTGCTTGTCATAATAAAGCCTCCCTTTGAGCAACTGCCATTTAAAGATGCCACATGACATACCCCTTGTCTCTTATGCTAAGATGTGTCCTTAAAGCCTACTTTAGAAGGAGTAGAGACAATCATAAAAAATAAATTGTGACTTGTCGCTCCCCCACTCGTGGAGGAACGACACCGGACCCTGTGCTGTTCTCTTTCCCCGGCCCTTCCCAGGTTTGCTGCCACTCCCCCCTTCCTCCGTGGAGGGGTGTTAACCCCGCCGCTTCCCCCGCTTCCACAGAGGAGTGGCACACCACCGGCCAGCTCTCTCAGGGGTTCCTCAGGTGTTCCTCCCGCATGTTGTCTCTCTCCTCCTTCATAGTCCTCTTTCACCAATCCCAACTCTGCTGGCGTTCTCTCCCCATGTGCTGAGCACGCTGCTCTCCTCCAATCAGGGGCAGGATCAGCTCCTGCAGCTTGTTAGTCGAATTGGTGAGGCAGCTGTGTGGAAGTTGTTTACTCCCTCTCAGTGCCATATGGTGGGAGATCAGATGCATAGAGTTAGTCTTAGCAGTTCCAGTAGTTTAGTCTAGTCTTGGTAATCTCAGTATTTGTCCTCAGTATTTATTTGTCCACAGTCTTAGTACTTATTTGTCTCCCAGGCGATGGGCCCTGCCATGTTATGGGAGACAGGGCCTGCTCCCCACAGTGACTGTCTCTGGAAGACTGACAGACAAGGGGGTGTGGAAAAACACAAAATCTAATATCTCGGACTGGAGGAGGCAAGATGGAAGAATAGGAAGGGAGCACACTGATAGTCTGGGGAGAGACAGCTTAATAAAAGTGGAGATACTGCAGGTTCAAGGAAGAGTAGGGGAGAAAACAGCAGAAGAAACTGTTCCGGAACGCGTGATTCACAGTGGACCTGCGTGGAGAGCGTGGGAGCCCACAGTTCGGGACACCAGTGGCAGACTCAACACACCAGCGCTGGAACGCGAGGTGAGCCGAACCTCAGTAGCCCGAGACACCAGCAGGCAAGCGGAGAGGAGACTAGAGGGAATGACCCCCGGGGGGGAAAAGTTCACCAGGCTAACTGGAAGAGAGAGAGAGAGAAAAAAAAAAGGTAACTGGTACGGACACGGGTTTCTCTCTCTCCGCTCACCTCTCAAGGGCGAGCAAGACAAAGAGCAGGCGCCATCTTGGACATACGTCATAAGCAGAGCGACCTCAGGTCTGCACCTGCCCTGAGCCTAGCAGAAAAACCTGACTCTGGGCAGGGCGAATTAACAGGAGATTAGGACCTAGTAACTTTGTGGTGCTACTGAACTGAGACTGTGAAAAAAGAGACGGTGGGGGAGAGAACTCATGGAATTCACGTGAGTACTCTCCAGAGACGCTACAATTCCATAACTTTGGCAACCCAGTGGGAGACTGAAGGAGAATTTGAGCCCACTCTGAGGGCCAAACAGATTCCCTGTGTGGTCCTTGGGAAAGAGCTTCTGATCTCTGGCTCCTGTGGGTATATCATTTGCCTGCTAACTAACTCCAACTTTGTTCAGCTGTGCCGAATTACTTCCCTTTTGAATCAAAAAAAAAAAAAAGAAAGAAAGAAAGAGAGAGAGAGAGAGATCTACCACGCCTAACCTGGGAGTGTCACCTTTGGCACACCAAACAGAGCTCTCAGGCC